AAATCCACTAGTAATAAGAAATGCCAAAAATAGACTACATCACCAGACTCAGAGTTGCCACCTAATCTTTTAAGAAAAATTAGGAAGCCCATGACTCATACCCAAAGGCCATGATCCATCGTAATCAAAGTGTCTCTACTCGAGAACTTAGGTATGAGGGGAGATGGTCATGAATTGAGCACCCCCTCACACAATCAAAGATTGGCCTCTACTATTTTATGATATGAGAATTATTAGCATGACATGATCATATGACCCACTTATTATTGCTATCTTTACTATGTGGACCAAACAAATAGAGACCAAATCACCTACTTTGGAATGTTCTAATCTCTTACTATGTTTTTAAAAAAGATGGTTACGAAGACAAATATCTCATTGAGATCTTCGCCCTGCAAAGAGATCAGAACCATTCCAACTTAGGCAATGAGACCTCCATACAATGAGCAATCAAAGAGATATACCAAATAAGTACATAGATTCATGGTAGCATGCCATACATAATTTGAAGCAATCATAGGCAGGGTGCAAAGATGAAAAAAGCTCACTTAGTACTCTAACCAGGCTTAAATAAGAAATACATGATCCTAGATGCCAAACTAAATGATATGCAAAGAAAGAGGATAGAAATGCTCATTGAGTACTCCAGCCAAGAAAAAATGAAAAATAGGCCTAAATAAGAAATGCATGATCTTAGATGCGACATCTAATGCAAAATTTGCACACAATGAATCCTAAGGAGCTTTGGACATTACCAAGATGACATGGATATCAACAAAGCACATAACACATAATAAAAATAATGGTCCAAGCCCAAATGCATGTCCTTATGCTAATCATGAGATCGTGATATCAGCAAAGTCAAACTTAAAAACTAAAAAGAGTAGAGAGTAAAGGTAGGGGGAAGAGAGTCGTTGTGACGACCGGGTGTATGATTCGCTTCTTATCCTTTCATTTTCATGGGGTTTGAAATGTCCGGAAGTTTTGTTCTTGAACAAATTCTGGTTCTCGTTTATTCGGTTTCAAATTTCACCTGTTCCGGAGAGTGAGAGGTCAGGTCTGAAGTGCCTAAAATGGAGCTGAGAGAATTTTGGGCAGTTAGGCCAGGGCCGTACGTGTGGGGTTGGGCCGCACATGCGGGGCAGGGTGAGCTGTGGAAGGTTGTACACTACCTAAAAGGCAGGTGCGGAGTGAAGGGCGGGAAAGGACCACTGCACGTGCGAGGGTGAAGGCCACGCATGCGGGGAAGGCGCTCCACACGTGCAGGAGAGAGCGCCGCACGTGCGACATTTTGGGCAGTTCGAGAGTTCTGTTTTTTCTTTCTTTTGGGGCTAAATGTATCTCATTTTTTTTTACATCCCTCTCTCTCTAAAAACACTTTTGCTCCCCTTTCTCTCTAAAAACCCTCATCAAACACTAAGAATCTTTGATTTCTTGCAATCCATTGAGTCTAGATTCATCATCTCTCACAAATCTTAGAGATCAAAGCTAGAACTTCACATTTTGTGGTGGAAACTGAAAATCTCTCATCTTGGCTCTAGGGTTTCATCTCTTTTCTTCATCAAACATTGAGGTAGGGATTCTTTTGAGTTATATATACATATTTTGCAATGATGATGTGTTTTAAAGGTTTTCTTGAAGTTATTTTATCTCCTTTGATTTTATGGCACAAAAATGTAGAGATTTTAAAAGTGAGGTTTAAATCTCAACCTTTTGATCCTTGAGGGTTTCAATTTTCAATAATTTGAGAAAAATGATTTTGAAGAAGATTTCACCAAGGAAAATGGGGAGATGTTTTGGTTTTTAATGGGCAGCCCAAGAAACTTTGGGGGTTTTCAGATATGTGGGAAAAACCTATGGGTTTTCTTTCTTTTCTTGTGTTAAATGAATGAATGAGTGTAGGTTTCACATTATGTTATGCAAAAATGGCAATCTTTTGATGTATGAGGATTGAGAATTATTTTAAAATGATTGTTGAATGCATGAGCATGTATAGTTGTGAGATGACAAATTATTGAGTATTATAGAGTATGAGAATTGTAAATCTTGGAGATTGACATTCGAAAAATTACATGAAGTCTTGAAGAGACTAAAATGCCAAGAATTATGCATGATAAGAAATTGTTGCGATGTGTTGATGGCATATGGTTATTTTGTGATAAATAGCATTAACGAAGGAAAATGAGAAATGTGGTTGTAGTAGTATTATTGTTGAGATACTTGAAAATGAATGATGTTACAAGACATTAATAATTTTCGCATTACACACTTATTTCATCGATTATTATCATGCATTTCGAATTGAGTTTGGAAACGTTTGCATTGAAATAAGTATTTATATTGAAATGGAAATGCTTATGGGGTAAATACGTTGGTAAGTCTGGTTAGGAGGTGTAGATGAATTTGATAAGTTGGCCTGAGTATCCGGGGTGAAAGACCGAAAACACGCGCGGAAGAGGTACCACTTCCCTTCCAGTTAGCAACCGGTAAAGTGGGGTTATTGGTAGTGCTTGTTAAGCCTACTTGCAGACACCAACTTAGGGATTACCTGAGTTGTATTTACCGCCCCTATTGATTAAAATTGGAAGTTTTGGAATTGTTAAGATTGCAAATTGTTATTGAAAGCATGGTGATTTTCAAAAGAGCATGTAGATGAAATTCCCTTTAAAATGGCATTGCATGGCATTTGCATCTAATATTGGAAATCTTGCATAAATGTATATACTTTGTTAAGGATCTTCTACTGGGCTTTATGCTCACCCTTATGAGATTTTGGTACAGGTAAAGATGTGATGATCCTGCCGAGTTGAAGGCGTGGACATATATATTTTGTGAAGAGTAGATGATTCTCTTTTGTTGTGATTATTTTCTAGCCAAGGGCTATTCATGTATGGGTCCGAGAGGCCACTTTTGTGTAACCGAGCATAAGCCTTGGAAATTGTAAGCCCATAAGGGCATTTTATTATTTTGGAATTCGATGTTTCACATGCTATAGATTCATGTATTTCTATATCACTGAATGCATAATTCACATGTGAGACTTTGTATAAACCTTGATAATTTTTGATGAAAAGGTTGGAAATTTGCCATTAATATTTAGTGGATGTTGGTTGATGCATTTCATTTTGAGGGATTATTTTCGGGGTGTTATAGTCGTCCTAGTGCATGCAACAATATAATAAATGGAAGATAAGAATATGATGAGAAAAGAATAAAACAAAACTCCAATGAGGATAGGGAGGTTCTCTCCCTCTTGCACATAAAAATGAGTATAAACTACCCAAATCCATGGGAAACAGTGACAAGAGAGGAGATTCAGACTATCCTCGTGGAGAAAGCCATATCTGAGCTTCTATATTATTAGAGCTAGCAAGAAAGGTAGAAAAGGGAAAAAAAAATCTAATGAGAAGAGGAAGATTTTCATCCTCCTACTCATTAAAATGAGCATAAACAGCTCAAATCCATATAAAATATGTTTAGAAAGAGAGAAACTTCCTCTTCTCATAGAGGAAACCGTACTTGAGTTTCTAACCCATAAAAATCAAAGAAAAAGCAATTCGGGCCTGGCTAAAGCCACTATACAAGCCTCTACTAACACTACAACAAAAAAGGTCTATGGTGACGAAAACGCGTGACGAAAAAATATTTCGTCTCCAAATATGTATGTTTTAGTGATGAAAATAAGATTTCATCTCCAATTGTACTATTTTTAGAGACGAAAACCAAAATTCGTCACCAAATGCTTAAAATCAAATAAAACAATAGGTGACAAAAATTTTATTCGTCTCTAAATTTTATTTTTCATCACAAAACAATTTCCCGCCCTTGGAAAATTTGACGAAAGATTTGGCGCCATTTTGGAGACGAAATTTTTCGTCACCATTGTAAAAAATTTTAGAGAGGAAATAATTTCATCTTCAAATGTATTATTTTTAGAGAGGAAAACCAAATTTCATCACCAAATGCTTAAAATCAATAAAAAGTAAAATTGAACCATAGATATCTCTCTCTGTCACTCCCTCACCCATATATCTCCTTCACACCGTCCGTTTATCTTTATCGCACTAGTTAACCCACACGTCACCGGCTGGCGCTCTCTATAACAAATCTCTCTCTCTCTCTCTCTCTCTCGCTCCCTGTTTTCGCCTCACTCTCTCCCCCCGTGCCATCTTTTTGCTTTTCTGAGCTCCCTATTCCCTCTTCTCTCTTCTCACTTTTCCAACCTCCGTCCCCCTACTTCTCTATCTCGCTATCCCCATTCTCGTCTCTCACTTTCGTAACTCGTTTTTCCCCAATTTGAACCCTAATTTGTTGGATGGTTCGCTGCCTGCGTCCTCCTCACTTGGTTTATCTCTAACTCTAACTTGGTTGCTGTCTCTCTCTCTCTGGTTGTCCCCAATTTCTAACCCTAACTTTTTCCCATAAATGTAAGTTGCTATGTAGAATTTAGTTAGTGATAGTTGTTGATGATATAGTTCTAATTTGGGGTGTAGAATGGGCTACCAATTTCGGGTTTTTTGTAGGCTTACTTGTTAATTTCGGTCAAGTTTCAGATCTTGTAAGTTTAAAGGGAGGCTTATGTAAAGAAATTCTTTTACATTTCCTAATAGAAGGGATTTTACAGAAATTCTTAAATATGTGGTGATTTTTGTTTATCTATTATTTGATAAATATCTTATTACTTGCTTTATCCACTACTACAAAAATAGTTAAAAATCACACTTTATTAAATGAAAATATCACATTTTTATTGGAAGTGTAATAAAAAAAATTAGATTAATATTTTAATCACACTTGATTTGATTGAGTGTAATAATATTTATTTTTTATATCACTTTTCAATTAAGTATAATTATTTATATTTTTTTTAATCACACTTTCTAATTAATATATAATTATATTTATTTTTTAATAAATATCTTATTACTTGCTTTATATTTATTAAGATTTTTTATCGTATCTTCTTTTAGATTTTATTCTCTGTATGTATGATACATACACACAGAACAAACCAAATGTTCGCTCTCCTTCTCAAATCCCCAATCGCTCTTCCTCTTATCAACTGACCATTGCCCATCGCTCATCGTCCCTCTCATCGACGGTGATCACCATACCTCACTGTGTCTCACCGTCTCATCGCCACAGTCAGTACGCCGTCTAGCCTCCAATTGATTTTGATTTAGGTCTCTCTCTCTCTCTCTCTCTCTCTCTCTCTCTCTATTTCCCTATTTCACTCTAGCTCTAGGGTTTTTATTTTGTTTTTTGATGCTGTAGAATGTTGATTTCTATGAAATGAGTAAATGTGTTTTGATTTTTGTCCTAGATTTAGGGGTTTTTTCTATGTACAGGCTTGATCTCTTATGCTAAGGAATAAATGTATTGATGGAGATTTGAAGTATTTTTTCTGATTGATTACAGCAAACCTGAATGCTTCTAGTGGATTACAGATATGCGAGTCATCACACCATTTGAGTTTCGAGTGGAATCATTAGCTTGCGTATGCATTTCACCATTTTCCTTCCTTGTTTACTTGATTTATTTTAATCCATGCTCATATTTGTATTGATTGGGGATTGGCGTGAGTGTTGTAGTATGGTGTTTGGTTGGGTTTTTATTAATATTTATTGGTGTCATACAAGTTGTGTTGGTGGAATTTGATAACATGATACACGGGTTATAGGTGTTCTCTTTGATAGTTCTAATGGGTGCTTCACTGTAGAAAGTGTAATAGTGGATGTTAACTAGCTGTTCATAAGTGAGTGTAATAGTGGATGTTAACTGGCTGTTCTCTTTGACAAATTTCAGATGGGTTTTTCTGAATTCTTGTAATGATTACTAAATTCACACCGTTAGTAATATTTCTTGATGATAATGATAGAATATTGAATACTTTATTATTTTATAATTTGGTGATAATGACAAATTTGCATTTTTATAAGAAGAATTGGAGATGATTTTGGGTTAATTTTTATTAGTAGGTTCTCTTACACTCTCTTTGGATTGAAAGTTTTTGAGAAACGAAGGATAGGTGGGGAAAATGGTCGATATTTATTATTCACTATTTTGGATTGTTTTTAAGGAGGGAAGAGAAACTGCATAGAGAGGAGGGAAATGGAGGTTTTGATTAAGATAATTTTTTACTCTAAAGTATGCCCCTGAGTTTGTGAGTTGTTAAAACTTATTTTTGTTTTTCATTCAGTTCATGCACATACCTTTCTTTTATAATTATTGTCTAACCAAACAAGAAGGAAAGGACACCCTCCCATAGGATACCCCAATGACTTAGGTCGCATTCCCTTAATAAAAATACTCAAGTCCAAGCCTCCTTAGCTTATCTATTAAAAAAATGTTACTATAAAAGGGTTAGTTATTACCTACTTAAACAAGAGGAGGGATATCTCCCACTCCTTCCATTTCTCCTCCTATGTGTTAGATTTTGTGTAAACCTTATGTGATATTCATTGACATCAACAATATATTTTTATGACACTGACAAGCTTGCATTATTTATTTATTTATTTATTTCGAGATGGGTTGAGGTTAGTTTGGAAAAATGATTGCTCTATTTGTATTTTGGTTAGTTTTTCTCATCAACATTGCCTTAATCAATGTTGCAGGGTTGAGTGCCACTAAAGAAGTGAAAATGACTTCAATGGTTGATGACATAAATGCTTATTCTTACTTGTACCCTGCAGAATTGCCATCTAGAAAGTTTGTCTTCAAATGGTAGGCATTTTATGCAACTAACAGAAATGTATTTTATTCTTAAATGCTCACTGTTATTAAAGTTGACGAGCAACAATTTTACTTCACATGAATGGTTTATGTGTAGCCTATAGGGTGAGTTGACAATCCTCCATAACTTTGTCATTATAGGATAGAGGTGCTAAATTTTCAAACATCTAAATTTACATTGTTTAAAATTATGTCAGATTGTTCTATAGTCCCAATTATTTAAAAGTTTAATTTATTGTGAAATGGGTCCAACAATGTATATCAACAATCTTGACACATGTACAGAGAAAGGAAGAGAGAGATTATGTGAGAAGATCTAGAGTTTCTTTGAAGTTTACTTCTAGGATTTCATTTGTGGTTGTCTATTTCTTTCCTTTGTATGAGCTTTCTATGTGAAATGTCCTTCTGTAGGTTTTAGTTGGGTTTAATTTGTATGTTGGGAAAATTTCAATTCAGTGCAAGGTTTAAAAAAAAAATTCATTCAATTCTTTTTGCCTCTGTTTTTTAATTTATTTGTGGGGTAGGGGAAATTTTAATTACTTTATCTGATGGATAAAATTGATGTTGGTTACTTTAATTTCAATGGTACAGTATGTAGTTCTCTAATATTCCTTCATATTAGTCTTTTATATAAAAAGAAAACTCAAAAATTTTTGTACAAAACTTTACAAAATAGAATTTGGAGTTTAGAATAAATTTGCTCACCTGGAGAGTATAGAACTTCTTAACAGGCTCTTGGAATTACTGGTCAATGCACTACCTCTGCTCATAGGCAATGAAGATAAACTGATATGGGAAGCAGATCTTTCAGGTATGAATCAAATCTATTAGAGGTTTATTACAGTGGTGGAAAGGTTTCAGCTATAGTATAAGTGCAGAAAATAAGAAAGAAAAATTTGGGAAGTAGTTCCTTTTGCAGCAATGTAGTCATTTTGGAAAATTAGGAATGTTTGGAAATTCAATGGGACCCAAGTAAACTAGGATTCCATCACTAAAATTATAAACCTAAGAGTGGCAATTATTCAAGCGTAGAGACCATATATCTCATCATACACCATAGCAAACTCACTAACTCTTGGAACTAAAATCCATATTCTACCCTTCACTCCTCCAAGTATGCTGATATGCACATAAGTGATAATCAAATATTAATAATTTTAGCTCCCCACTATTTTGGGGGTTGCAACACAAATCATGTTATGTCACATGGGTATTATGCTATTTCTCACTGCTCATACATGATAACTTCCTGCTTATTCAACCTAAAATTCTATCCCCAGAAGTAGTTAACTTAAAAGACACTACCATATACTTTGTAGGTTTGAATATCACTTACGATTCTTTGATTGAAACTTTCATCTTGGATGAATTTTATTTTTTTTATTCGGGGGCCAAAATTATGTAACAATCATGAGAAGGCCCAGAGAACACCTCAAATAACTCGGGAGAAACTAATCTAAGTTGTGAAAACTTATGGAACTAGCACAGGACTCCCGATTCGAAAACTAAGTCGAAAAATGCACTTTTCTAACACTTAAGCTTAAAAATAGGCCATCGGGGGCCAAAATCGTGCAACAATCACGAGAAGGCCTGGGAAACACCTCAAACACCTCAGGAGGGACCAAAGTAAGTTGTAAAAATTTACGGAGCTAGCACGGGACTCCTGGTTCAAAAACTAAGTCCAAAAATGCACTTTTTCACACTTAAGCTTGAAAAATAGGCCATTGAAGGCAAAAATCGTGCAACAGCCATGAGACGGCCTGGGTAACACCTCAAATACCTCGGGAGGGACCAAAGTGAGTTATGGAAACTTACGGAACTAGCACAAGACTCTCAGTTCGAAAACTAAAAGTCTGAAAATGCACTTTTTCACACTTAAGCTTGGAAAATAGGCCATCGGAGGCCAAAATTGTGTAACAGCTACGAGACGGCCTGGGTAATACCGCAAGCACCTCGGGAGTGACCAATGTAAGTTGTGGAAACTTACGAAACTAGCACGGGGCTCTCGGTTCAAAAACTAAGTCCGAAAATGCACTTTTTCACACTTAAGCTTGAAAATAGGCCATCGGAGGCCAAAATCGTGCAACAGCCACGAGATGGCTTGGGTAACACCTCAAAAACCTCGGGAGGGACCAATTTGAGTTGTGAAAACTTACGGAATTAGCACAGGACTCCCGGTTTTAAAACGGAGTCCGAAAATGCACTTTTTCACACTTAAGCTTGAAAAATAGGCCATCGAAGGCCAAAATCGTGTAACAGCCATGAGATGGCCCGGGTAACACCTCAAACACCTCGGGAGGGACCAAAGTAAGTTGTGAAAACTTACAGAATTAACACGGAACTCCCAGTTCGAAAACTAAGTTCGAAAATGCACTTTTTCACACATAAGCTTGAAAAATAGGCCATCAAAGGCCAAAATCGTACAACAGCCACGAGATGGCCCAGGTAACACCTTAAACACCTCGGGAGGGACCAAAGTGAGTTGTGGAAACTTACGGAACTAGCACAATACTCTCAGTTCGAAAACTAAGTCCGAAAATGTACTTTTTCACACTTAAGCTTGAAAAATAGGCCATCGAGGCCAAAATTGTGTAACAGCCACGAGACGGCCTGAGTAACACCTCAAACACCTCAGGAGTGATCAATGTGAGTTCTGGAAACTTACGGAACTAGCACGGGATTCTCGGTTCGAAAACTAAATCCGAAAATGCACTTTTTCATACTTAAGCTTGAAAATAGGCAATCGGAGGTCAAAATCGTGCAACAGCCACGAGACGGCCCGGGTAACACCTCAAACACCTCCGGAGGGACCAATGTGAGTTATGGAAACTTACGTAACTAGCACGGGACTCCCGGTTCGAAAACTAAGTTCGAAAATACACTTTTTCACACTTTAGTTTGAAAAATAGGCCATCGGAGGCCAAAATCGTGTAAAAGCCACGAGACAGCCCAGGTAACACCTCAAAAATCTTGGAAGGGAGCAAAGTAAGTTATGGAAACTTACAGAATTAGCACGGGACTCCCGGTTCGAAAACTAAGTCCAAAAATGCACGTTTTCACATATAAGCTTGAAAAATAGGCCACCGAAGGCCAAAATCGTGCAACAGCCATAAGACGGCCCGGGTAACACCTCAAACACCTCGGGAGGGACCAAAGTGAGTTGTGGAAACATACGGAACTAGCACAGGACTCTTGGTTCGAAAACTAAGTCCGAAAATGCACATTTTCACACTTAAGCTTGAAAATAGGCCATCGGAGGCCAAAATCGTGCAACAGCCACGAGACGGCCCGGGTAACACCTCAAACACCTCAACAACTCTGGAGGGATCCAATGTGAGTTGTGGAAACTTACGAACTAGCACGGGAACTACTCGTTGAAACTAGTTCGAAAATACACTTTTTCACATTAAGTTTGACAAATAGCATCGCAGGCAAAATCGTGTAAAAGCACGAGACAGCCAGGTAACACTCAAATCTTGGAAGGGAGCAAAGTAAGTTATGGAACTTATAGATTAGCACGGGAACTCCGGTTCGAAAACTGAAGTCCAAAAATGCCGTTTTCACATATAAGCTTGAAAAATAGGCCATCAAGCAAATCGTGCACAGCATGAGACGGCCGGGTCACCATCAAAGCACTTGGGAGGGACCAAAGTGAGTTGTGGAAAGTTACGTGAACTAGAACAGGATCTTGGTTCAAAAATAAGTCGAGAAAATGCATTTTACACCTTAAGAGCTTGAAAATAGGCATCCGGAGGCCAAAATCGTGCAACCGCGCACGAGATACGGCCGGGTAAACTCAAAACAGCTCTGGCAGGAACCAATGTGAGTTGTGGAAACGTTACGGAACTAGCACGGGACTCTCGGTTCGAAACTAAGTCGAAAATCACTTTTTACACTTAAGCTTGAAAAATAGGTCATCGGAGGCCAAATCGGTGTAATAGCCACGAGAAGGCCGGAAAACTCAAACCGCTCGGGAGAACCAATGTGAGTTGTGGAGACTTACGGAATTAGCATGGACCTCCCGGATTGAAAACTAAGTCAAAATGCATTTTTTCCTACTCTTTGCTTGAATCAGGCCATCGGGGGGCCCAAAATCGTTAAACAAGCCGAGAAGGCCAGGGAAACCTCAATAACTCGGAAGCACCGGGTTGTAATGGTAAACTTTACAGGGACTAGCGCGGGACTCCGTTTTGAACTAAGTCAAAATGAATTTTTTCAACGTTAAGCTTGTAAATAAGCATCGGGCGCGAAAGAAGTGTGTAACAGGCCGAGAGCTGCAGAACTAACCTTAGGAAGCATGTAAGTTGTGAAACTTATGAAACTAACACAGACTCTGATTTGAAAACTGTGAAAATGCATGTTAAGTTGTATATTTTTTGATAATAATTTGTCTAACTTGCCATTTATTTTTTTCTTTTTTCCCTTTTTCTTTTTTTGTGTTCAATTTTTTACCAGTTGGAGATTTGATCATGGAATGTTTGGGTAATTTGAATGAGCAAAGCTAGCTCATTTTGTTGTTTTTGTTCATATTACTTACTGTATTTTGG